ACCTCTCTCTCTCTCTCTCTCTCTCTCTCTCTCTCAGTAGTTGAACATTTTCTGATGGCTTGATGGGGTTTATTTTGCAGGTTTTTCAGCAGTTGACAGGGATCAATGCCATCATGTTCTACGCCCCTGTACTCTTCCAGACCATGGGTTTCAAGAATGACGCCTCACTCTTGTCCGCTGTGATCACAGGAACAGTTAATGCCATCTCCACCTTCATGGGCATTGTCATTGTTGACAGGGTTGGAAGGAAACCTTTGCTGCTCCAAGCTGCTGTCCAGATGTTCATTTGCCAGGTACATTCTAACTCTTCCCTCAATCAAATTTTACTCCTATAATTCTTTGACATAGAAACAATGTAGGGAAGTCCTAAAAGTGAATCAGTTACTGTATATGTTACTTCTTTTATTCTACACATTTGAATTTTATGATATATTTTCCCTGCAATTTAAAGTTCTTCATTGTAACTACTTGAATTCAAGGTTATTAATAGGATTAAAACCATCTAACTTCTCATATTGGGCCTTGCTGGAGCACAGAGAACCTCTGCACATGAAACTTGCCCAAGTTCTATGTTGAAGCAAAAACAAATAATAATATTCAGACATGAACAAAAGTTGGGAAAAGAAACTAAAATAAAATGATCCTTTCGGAAAGGGAAATTCAACTTCTATAATTCACCCAAATTTCAGACCATCTATTCATACCAAAAAGCTAAAATACACTTGACTTTCGTAACATCACAATATGAAGTTTTCACACTTTTCCAATACAATCATCTATTTCCGCCTTCACTTAATTGAGACTAATATTGTAGAAATTTCAAAAACCTTTCTACCAAAAGAAGATCCATCTCTCTCCCTCTCTTAACCATCTGTTGTTCATTGCTTGTAATGTGATTTTGCAGGTCGCCATTGGGATCATTCTATTAAAGGATCTCCACTTAACGAACTCCCTAAACCACACAGTTGCGATTGTCGTGGTGATACTGGTGTGCGCCTATGTTGCTGGCTTTGCGTGGTCATGGGGGCCACTAGGTTGGCTCATCCCTAGTGAGATCTTCCCTATAGAGACAAGATCAGCTGGATTTTCCTTTGCAGTTTGCTCCAACATGCTTTTCACATTCCTTATTGCACAAGCCTTTCTATCTACGCTATGTCACTTAAAAGCCGGCATCTTCTTCTTCTTCGCCATGTGGATTCTTATAATGGGGACTTTTGTAGTTTTTTTCTTGCCGGAGACAAAGGGTGTTCCTATTGATCAGATGACAGAGAGGGTGTGGAAGAAGCATTGGCTCTGGGCCAGGTTCATGGCAGAGGAGACTAACAGAGTTTGAAGCCACTAAATCAAGTTCATGGCAAGGGAACTAATGGAGTTCAAAGCCACAAAATATACTGAGAAGGCAATTTGTCTGTTTTTTTACCTTTTATATAGGTACTCTGGGCGGTTTCTCTCATTAGGAAGTTCATATATAGTTTCCTCATCTATTTCTTTGTAAACTTGTCATATGATTTCTTCACCATGTGGATTCCCATAATGGGGACCTTGTCTTATGCTTGCCGGAGACGAAGGGAGTTCCTATAAATCAGATGACAGAGGGTGTGAAAGAAGCACTGGCTATGAGCCATGTTCATGGCAGCAGAAGCTAACAAGGTTTGAAGCCCCAAAATCAATTTCATGGCAGAGGAGTCTAACAGAATTCAAAGCCCACTAAAAATCAATGTAATTTATTGCAATGTTACTTTTTGGATTGAAACACAGATCCAAGCCCAATGTACCCCAAAAATGTAATGTTGCTGCAAAATGACCTTCGATCACATAAAACTTCAGAACTCCATAAATATAGTAAGCTTTTTGATGAAATTTTAAACAAAATGACTATGAATATCCCTTGGGAGTCCCGAGGGAGAGTGTCACAGGAATATATTCTTTATGTATTTTCAATTGATACAAATGGCACTAGAAATAATTTCAATGTCGACTGGGTCTTTATTGTCGCATATTTATAACTTAGACCGAGAAGATGAATTGTGGACCGTGAAGTGAAAGTAATAGAAAGGGGCTTGAGCAGCACCTCATCCTCTAGTAACTATGTTGTGGTTTTCATTCCCACCACTAACATCAACCCAATAGTACTTTAAAAACAGGTAACGGTCTTCCCCATTGAATTACTCAAAAAATAATAATACTTAGACAAGAGACAAGTTCTCAATATTTATATAATCTATAAGCTAATACTAATAATTTTTTGAAAAACCTAAAAAACTAGATTTTTAAAAAATGTCGATATTTTTTTGAAATATTTTTAAGGTTGAATCAAACCGATCTGGCCAATTCTCCAATCCAGATCGCCGATCCACCGATCCGCGTTACTGATCTTTTTTTAGGATAAATGATCCGCATTACTGATCTATTTTTTAAATCCTTGATGTGGATTATGGATACAAATGCTTCATTTTGCGGATCACATTCGCTATCTTACTTCTTTAATAACCCAATAAACATTATTTGTCATCAAATTAATCAGTGTTGCCACCCATGTTCTTGTTGGCAAAATTAGCGTGGATCATGACAAAAGTTAGTGGCCAATGTACACCTTGTTGAGGGCTTTACATTTTAATGGCGGACGAAATAATAAGTGGGTTGATCCAAACTTAAGCGAGCCAAGCCCCTAAATTAGTCCCATTATTTTTATTTTTGAGAAAATGTTATTCAATAAGCCAAAACATCTTACCAAATTATCAAAGGTCTCGAAAAATTCCAATTGACATTGAAGAGTTATCCTTTTAATTTTCGTTTCACTCAAATATGGAGTATCTTCAATAGTTTTCCAAATTGTTCTGGTTTAGGATTGTGAATCTTGAATAGGTACGAACATTTTAATAATTTGACCTGTCTTAAAAACTTGGGGGTACTGTGGTGACTTGGTTTAAGGATTTTTACGTTATAAAAATACTCATGTCTGTTCAGAGTTCCCAACTCTGAATCGAGGCAATATAAATATTTTAAGGTAATTTAAATATTCTTAAAGTAATTTATGAGGAGGTACTTGTGCAAAATAACAGAAATTAAAAGTAAACCTATCATTATTAATTAGGATGTCTTGACTAATAATTTAATTCTTTAATGAGTTATTACCCCTTAAATGACATCTACACCTTTTATTCCCTTTTTTTATTTGGGCCACCCTATCGATGGCAACAAGTGCGCCTAAAAACCAATCAATGCATATAAATTGTGGCAAGCAAAAATGCATAAAGATTGATGGAAATTCATCCTAAATATTGGACAACTTTGTTGGAAAAAAAACTCTGATGATGATATTGGACAACTTTCTATATCACAAAAGCAAAAGGAAGTTATCTGAAATCAATACCGGTTCTTATGTTTTAAGAAGATATCTATCGCTCATTAGCATGATAGTTAATGCGGGATCCATCGTCCTAAATATTAGTTATCATCAATACTCATACTAGGATTAAGGATGTGGTTAGAAGTAGTTCGAAAAGATAAGGGAACTTATAACCTCACTGAACCTTTAATAGAGCAGAATGACAGACCAAAAATTATGCAGCTGACCCTAATTAATGGAAAAAAAAACTATCATGATGATGAATGAATGCTACTAGGATTGATAGTGGTGATGCGCTCTATAGGGGTGATAGGAGTGATGAGTGACTTAAAAATCACAGTTCTGGACTGATATTGCTGATCAAGTTACTATATAGATTATGATCCCATATCGAGAAGCAACCCATTTTAGAGAGACTTGAGCAGTTCTATTGGGGACCCTGGCGAGTCATATCCTTGGACAGGCGAATCGGATTGGCGATCCAAGATGGTAGGAAATTAAAAATAAAGTGTTTTTATTATAAAACGCTTTCAAATTTTTTTTTCCATTTCTCACTCATTTCGCTTGAAATCTATCTTTAATTGTTTGTTTTTGTGTTTATTACAAGATCGAAATAGTACTTTTTAAATCAAAACCCCTCCTCAAGAAATCCGAAGATCAAAAAATGGGGATTTTCGGCCACTGTCTATTTGGTTCTCTCCCTCATTTGATTTCAAACAGAAGTTCTACTTTTAGTTTTATTTAAACAAATGTTTGACTTCTGACCATTATTGTTTTAAATCCAGAAAACCAATTCTTGGCACTCGATTTAGAAATCTTTAAGATTGAACCAGTTTGATTTCTATCCAAGTAGAAACCACACCAATTTTGAATCAAAACTTTTGAAGCCAGACCAATTTTATTTGAGTTCTTCTAACCTGAAGTTATTTTTTGAGTTTTTCTAACAAATTTCTTTGAACTCCTTTTTCCAGAATCCAGCTTTGTAGGTTTCTTTTTTCTTTTCCTCATTTCGACTCTGTGTGAAGTTCATCTCATAATCTTTCCTTTTAAGCCTCTACAACATATGGAAATATTATTTCATATTGAAACCGCTTTTGATTGCATTTGATAATCAAAAGTTCAGTTTCTCTCAAAAACTAAGCGTAAATTAAGGATATCTTTTTTGGGAAAGGTTTCTATGCTTTTCCTACACCATAGAAGTTCTATCCTCCTCCTACCATCCAGCCGTCTAATTTTGATCAAGAGAGCCACTCATCATTTGATCTTAGATCCAATGTCTTAAAGTATTTTATTTTTAGTTTTTTTTATACGAATTGTATGGATATGAAAATTGGTACATGTCATATTCTCATTGGGGTACAAATTGTATGAAGAATGGACGTCCAAAATTTCGTGTCAAAATAGTTAATAGAAAAAAATAAAAAATAAAATAGTGTAGGTACATGACATTATGATTGGGACAATCTTAGCCCTCCATTCAGAATGGACGGTTGGATAAGGGGGAGGATTGAACTTTTATACTGCAGGGGAAGCATAGAAAGTTTGCCCATCTTCTTTTTTCTTTTCCTTTTTTTTTCTTGTTTTTTTTTTTTTTCATATTTCTCAATATTGAATATTTGGATTGGGAATTGCTGATTTGGGTATGCCTAGTAAACTGGCCCAGGTCACCTAGCTGATCCTTGGCTTTAAAGCACTGATTTTCTTTTATAAAAGCACCTCACATTTTTGTTCGGAATTCAGATTTGAAACCTCAAGTGGAACGATGGTCTTATGGAGTCACTTATGAACCTAGAAACTAGGGATGGCAATTGACGTAGAACCGATCCGGGACCCACTGGGTATACCCAAATGGGTCAAGGTATGGTTCGTCCGACGGGTCAGGTCCAGGTCCAAAACATAGACTCTAATACTATTCGGGTTCGGTCCCAGTTCAATACTCGACTCGTACTTGTAAACTGTTGGAGATAAAATACTTCAAGCCCTATTCATTTGGAATCCGATGGGTATGAGTATGGACCCGACCAGAGTCGGGACCCAATGGGTATAGGTATGGATCCAATTTTTGGATCCGACGGGTCAGATTCACGTCCAAAACCTAGGCCGAATATATTTTGGTCTGGGTCCAGCCAGATCCATCCCATACCCGACCCGTTACTAGCCCTACTAGAAACCAACCCCAAAAAAAGACTAAAGTTGAAAATACACTCTCTATGTGACTGACAAAGTAATGTCCTGATATTGAACAAAGACCGGTCAAAATTTGGATGTTTTGATATGTGTGTAGGATTCAAAATCTGATTTTTATTTTGACAATAATCGTCTATTCATAAATCGGTTATCTAAATTTCAAATCAATAAAAACTTCCTAAGTAGCTCTTGCCCCACAGGAGAAAGTGTACATTATGATCATCCGGGAGCATGCTATAAGTGTTAATATAGAAAACTTAGCAACTTTATTATTGAGGATTATATTATAACATATTAGCAACCCGATTTTATGTCTAATAGTCAATAATAATTATGAATCTTGAAAACAAAAATAAAGATGTACATATTTTCTTTCCTTTCATAATTATTATCTTGCACATAGAAGATTCGAGTGATTGCCTAGGATAAATTAACAATATTGTTGCTCCCTCGGACTCCAATTTTGACTGGGGACGCATCATTCATAATTCTAAAGGATGTCCTCTAGTCTCTTGAGTTGTAGTGTTGTCGCAGGAGTTGTGAATGTGTGAAAAATAAGATTGAAATATAAAGGATCGTATATAATGAGACCATTTACTTTCGATACAAGGCGGTCACAATTACTTATAATCAACCGATGTAAAATCTGATAGCTTAGGTGCGTCACAAAGTTTCAAGAAATTTTTTTTTAATTTTGACCTTGGTCAATGAAATAAAATGATGCCACCCAATTTCACATCTAATGGTGAAGATTAATTGTGACTACTTTGTACCAAAGGTAAATAGTCTCATTATATACTTCTCGATATATAATTACCGATCGAAATTTTACCAATTGATTGGATTGCCTTGTGCCAAA